CGGGACGGAGAGCCCCCCCCCCCCCGCCTCTGTGTTGGTCATTGTTTGATCGGAATCTCAGGAATTCTTTATAGACTTCTAGGGTGGATGTGTTAAGTAACAATGGTCTGGAGTGTGTATAGGGATTGGACAGGTAAGGCGGGTACCCCTCTCTTGTCTGGTATACGTTGAGCGAGCTCGCGCTCCTGGCAGAAATTTACCCTCAATGCTCTGCATTTGCAGCAAGGTATGAGACGGAGAGAGCCCCCCCTGCTTTGTGTTGGCCATTGTCTCGCAGGAATCTGGGGAATTCCTTTCAGACATCTCGGGGGGGTGTGTGTTAAGTAACAATAGTCTGGAATGTGTATAGGGATTGGACATGTTGGGGGGGTACCCCTCGGTGTCATTTCTTGCTGGGTATAATGCTCTGTGCGTCATTTGCGGTTAGTCGTGTGACATATTTCCGTCACCAGAATCTAGCTGTGCCAAGGACATCAGTCCTTTCAAGCGCCATGCTCGGGCGCTGGGCGACGAATGCACTGTGTCCTCTCATGCAAAACAACAAAGGCTGCGTCACATCTAACGTTTCATACATAGCCGACGCATGTACATGTACGGTAGGCCCACCATAATGTTATATACATACACATTTTCACGGTAGTCTGAGACCATCTGGCTGACGCTGTTCCAATTTGAAACAGACATTTTAAGCTTCGATAACAATGTAAACACATGATATCACGCGATTTTAGATATGGCAATTGAATTAAACGAATCCTCGACAGTTAAGACTGTATGTCATTACCAGGTAAGTTCGAATATAGTAAAAAAGAATCTTTGTCGTTCGTGTCCGTCACCAACCTAGCTTTCCTCCAAAACCCATAAATGCGACTCAGTATGTTATTAGCTTACTAGTAGGCCTAAGGGGCAAAAATATTATGGAACGATACGGTTTCCGATATAGTCTGAAATCGCCAGCCCGTATTGGTAGCGGTGGCCAAGTGTCCGTCCATTTAGTCCTTAGACCGTCAGGAAAGAATTTCACAGATATACGGACGCTGCTTGACACCCTATCTACAAACCCTTTGGAACTCGTCTGAAAATTATCCGTAAAATGTTCTTACTGCTCAATTTGACTCTTAGGATATTTGTTGCTCTCACATTTTTAGTAGATCACGACAAGTTAAATTAGTGGTGACAGTATATGCATGCAGGAATTGAGAACCCTGTCTCCTGCAGATCCACGCCGGCTCTCTAAATGCAAAAGAGTGAAAAGGAAAGGTCATCCTCAAAAAGAGTGAATCCTCTATTAAAGGAAACAACACTCCAAAAGAGTGAAAATCATTCTTTAAAGATTGAAAACTACCCAACGGGTAACAATTTCCACTCTGCCAGGCCAAGGATAACTCGAAAAGCGTTGTCCTTCATCAGCCACTTCCTGCTCTGAGACCAAAAAAGGTTAAAAAAATGGGATATTAATAAACAATAACTGTAGTAAGTATACCAATACCATTGTAAATGTGTGTAATGCATAATGTTTCACCATCGTTTCCACTTCGCTGTAAAATGAGACATTGAAAAAAAAACATTGAAAGGGACATTGAAAAAATCTGGGCCCGTGGGGCATCTGGTCTGCAGACCACAGTATTTTCAACTTTTGGTGCCCCTTGCCCACCTTTAGGTCTCCTTTTTTCTTTTTCTTCTTTTTTTGTGGCCAAATAATAATAAATCCTGGATCAGCCTCTGTTCATGGCTCCTTTTCAGTAATTTTCACTCTTTTTATAGTGATTTTCACTCTTTTGGAGTAGATACATAAAAGGCACTCTTTTTGAGGGTGAGATTTTCACTCTTTTGTCTGTAAGAGAGTGGAGCACCCCAAATCCAACCCAACCCTTAAAGAAAAATAGGATATTATCGACCCAAAACTCAACCGAAACCAAGCCGATCCGGACAGAAGATAAATTGTGCTTGGACAAACTGTCCGAAATTTGTCCCAAATTTGTCCTTTATTCCTGAACTCATCCGTACTGTAAGAACTTCTTTTTTAGGAAAATCATTACAACAACTCCAAACTGTCGTCGAGTGTGCATGTTGTGCATGGGAAAAATAACGTGTATTGGTCAAGTAGCGCACCTTGACTCTAAAGTAATAATGCACTATGCATGTGTATATATCAACTCTCGCTTTCTTCAATTTATTTAGGGTTTTTAGGGAGATTGTTTATTCGAAACGAACTAAGTTGGAAACGTAGAATCGAAACAGACCCGATTAAAATATGATGGAAAGTTTGGAAAAAACGACGGGATTCAACCCAAAAGGACTCTACAACATTCTCCCACATCCACGACACGCGTTTTCTAATTATGTACAGCAACGAAAGCCACTTCGCTTATTCCATTCTTTATAATGCCGTCAAAACACACGTTGCTTTTAGTGTCGGGGGGATTCAAAAGCCTCGGGCTCATTCAACATGATGTTGGTGGAGAAAAAAAATCAAAAACCTTACTCACGCCTTTATTTGTTGGTGTTGTTGTCTCAGGGTTTGGCTACTAATATTGATGAATAAATATACCGATTGCTTTCTTTCCTACTCACCTATGAAGTATACTTTGTAAAAAAGTATTTAAAAAGTGTCAGGCGAGCCAACCGGCCCTAATTTCCTATATCCGTGTCCACCGATTTCTGTTTGGCCTATAAGTAGTCGGTGGGTCGGTTATTCCCTCAAACATTCTGCCGTCTTTGCCACCCGTGTCTGTTATTTTGGGGGAAGATTCGTCTGCTAACCTTGGCGACATATTGCGCACTAAAAATGGCGAGATAGTAAACAGCCACACAGCGGTTGGAAAAGTAATGATTTCGACCCCTGTGATCGATGAGAACTTAATTTTTGATCCGGCTACACCTCTGTTCAGCTCCATATTCTTGTTCGCCCATTGCAAATAGAACTTTTGCCCTGTTGTGTTCAGGTTTACTTAACAAAACGACACCATTAAGATTAAAATTGATTAAGATTTGGGTAGACGTTTGCTTTACATAATTCGGTGTTTTATCATCTATTTCATTATCACAATATGGTATTTGTAATCCGTTGTACGGCCTCGATTTTGAATTTGTTTATTAATTATTATTATTTTTTGGCTGTCCCAGTTTTGCTGCTCTTAGTGTCCCGATCTTTCATTTTTTCACTCTGCCCCCCCCCCGCGGCTGGTTCCCTGTTTCTGAGCCACCGTGGTCGTCGTGTCCACGAAAACTGAATATTACAAGTTCAGCTACCTTTTGTCTGTTTATTTATGGTCTTACGTGCGGGTGTTCTGTAATGTGTACAAGCACAATGATTCGAAGACAATGCTCGGTTCCTTTGAGCATGTGGTCACGAAAATAAAATTGAAAATCAATACAATATTTTGCACTCCTTGATATTTTAAATTTCAGACTGAGGAGAGTGTAGCAGCTGATAACAACGTACTCAGCGAGTTAATCTCCCTGGATTCTGGGAAAGGAAGGCAACTTCTCATTGAGGCCAGAATTCGTCAGGGCATCTTGATGGAAGTATTTGATTTTCAAGCGCACTGTTCTCATTGTGGTGTACAAAGCTTGGCACTTTTATTAGCTGCTTCCGAGTGTGGCAAAGCCCGGCCACGTAAGGAGGAGATCGAGAAGGACATCAANGAGAAAGTACCAAGGCCTTGCAATTTTCTCCTATCCAGAAACTCGGCAGGTCATCACGGAAGATGTAATCCCGACACGGGGCGTGACGCTGGAAGATGTGAGCCAGATACTGCGCAATCATGGTCATCGGACCACTGTTTACTTCGGCCAGCATTCCTCCACGGATGAGTTCCGTCGGATCGCCCTGGAGGCCCTACGGCATGAGGATTCCAGCGTTGGCATTATCGTGAACTATCAACGGTACCTGTTAGGCCAAACTCCTCAGAGAACCAAGTATGGTCATCACAGCCCCTTGTGTGCCTACCACGACGGTACTGACCGCTTCCTTGTACTTGATACCAATATCACACGGCCAAGACTTTGGTTGAAAGCCCAAGATCTGTTTGAGGCAATGCTGGATCTTGATAATGCAACAGGAAAGTCGCGTGGATTCGTTGTTATGAATGGCAATGTGCAAGCATAATTTTTGAAACACAGGGTATAAGTTTTTATTGTAAATTTTCATCACTTACAGGCTTAGCCTTACCTCGTAGGTATGGCACCTTTCGAAACTTTTTATGAAAGCCCTGTAGTGTCATCAAGTGTATGATTATTTTCAAAAAGTGAAGCATGTTTTTTCGAAGTCTGTTTATAGCAGATGTAATTTTCCAACTTTGTATTAACATGATATGTTTTATCCAATGTTCGTTTGTTCGAGACATACATTCTCCAGTTTGTTCTAATGAGATCTACTGTATATTTAGAAGCAATGTTCTTTTTTGGAAACAAATAGTTTTCACAAGATATGTTTTTCAAGTTAATTTTTCGGAGATGTATTTTTTAAAGTTTGTTTAATGACATATTTTTGGAAGTTGGTTTTGTTGGAAATAAATTCAAACTTGAAAATCATACATCTCTTAAAAATTAACTCTTGAAAATCTATATCATTAACCTCATATTTTATAACGTCATATGAAAAGTACTTCAGACTGAACCAATATGTGATACAGATCATAATGGATTCCTTCCGGATGCAAGTGCAACTTTGCAGATATATTGAAACATTTGTTATCTAACAGTAACAGTTCGTTTTTTTATTCGCCTCTGTTTTTAAGAAGAAAAAAATTACTGTGTGAACGTCAATTCTTTTATCCCCTTTAACCTTTTTACTTTTAAGCACTTTATATAGTGGCATGGCACGTCATTTATATTTTGTTCTGATAATTGCATTAATTTTGTAATTGTTAACCCATAATGCCCTTATAGGGCATGGCAGTTCGAAATTTACATTTAGTCTTCATATTTGTATTAATTAACCCTTTCTTTCCACTTTTTTTTAATGCACTTGTTCTTTCAATTATTCATTATTAGGCCTATTATTAATGATTACTGGTAATGATACCAAGGATTCCTCAACTCAGCGCCGAAGGCGCTGTAGCTTGCAAGCCCAACGAAACCCGTGGAGAGGAGACGGTGAGAAGCAGTTCCAGTTTTAGAGGTGGGGGAAACCCATAAAGTCCATAAAATCAGCTAGGGACTGAAAACCCAATCCACATGTGTACTGAGCTGGAAATCGAACGCAGATCGCAAAGGTGGGAGACGAGGACAGAACCACTACGCTAACCTGACTTTCCAAGCATGAAGTGATCAAATAATTCAATTACGTTTATACTTTTATAAGAATCTTACTTTAACCTGCGTTTCGTCGCATTTTGGATTTTTTTCACGTGAGGTGTCTTTTGTTCCTAGTTTACTTCAGACGCACCGTGCCATTAATTGTTCACTGAATAAACAACTGTCCCATAGAGATTATGCCGGACATAGCTAGCAGAAAAGGGCACCCCGTAGTGTAAAGCGACTGAGATGTGCAAATTAGGCCTCAAAAATGGCATTTTTGTCCTTGCAGTAGACTGTAGACCTTAATTAACTTGCCCGAGTCTACAAATCTTAGCAATGATCGCTACTTGGGCAGCCAAAGTTTGCTGGTTCAACCAGTGATTGGACATAACTTGGACCGGTATATAGCACAGAAAGATCTTTTTGTTTAAGAGAAATAAAAATTGTAAAATTTCATATGTGCACTATACATTCAACAGAGGTTATGGGTGTTGAGAAGAAAAAGGGGACACGAAAAAGGAGGAAAAGGGATGTATGAAAATTTATACTCTACACGAAAATTAGTCGGAAGTATACAATTAGGCCAGGTTAAATGCTGGAAATTGGCTATGGACATTTGAAAAGGGGGGCGGAGACACCATTTGACACTATGGGGACAATGTTCAAGATATTGAGATAGGCCTAGATCTGTAACATGTATGACATTCGTGCAGAATCTAATATCAGAGTGCCAGATTTGTTGCTTTTTTATTGCTTTCCCTTTTTGAGTGACATTGAATGCATTTTTGTTGTTGGGAAGGCCGGAAAATTCTTCATGATCCATTTTAAGTTTTGCTTACCACAAAGAAGTGAGGGCAGTGATTTAATAGCCCATCCCCTCGAAAAAGTGGGGGTATCGTCACCTAACGTGGCGCACCGTCGACGTTCACTTGACTTTTCTCTCACATCGTTGCCAAACCTCTTGAAAACGTAAACCTCATTTGGTTAACATCTGTGAACCTTGTCGGTGTCTGGAAATTGGGCTCAAATTCAGCTGAGAGTTCCCTAACGTGGCACACTTGAAAAAAAATCCCACATGAACATTTTTAAAAAATCCTTTGAAGATGATAAATTCTTGTAAAGCATCATAGAATGAGGAACATAAAAACGACATTTATAAATAAGAATATTAGGAGTTTGATGAATTTTCAAGATGTATTTTTCCAGCCCATGCTAGTTTTGTTGACAGATTCTGAGGAAAAATATCAGGCAAATGTCAGGAAAGTCCTACCTGAATTTAATAAAAGCCCAGATTTGGGTATGAAGACCTAAAAATGAAGACGAAGGACCTTCCTTGGCCCACGGACTGCGGCAAATACACCAGCTTCTCTCATTGACATTTTTACAAATGCACTACCTTAAACCAAATTCTGTCATTATAGTCATCGAATTATTGAACCACTTCCCAATATTTACCTCGTACCCACTTAAAGTAAACCATGGTGCTCCTCAGTGTACCCCATCTCGAGATTACTCATGACTGAAAAATTTAGCGAAATTCAAAGAGGATCTTTCCTCTCAGGATTGGACCCCGTTTTAAATGCTGGAGATGTCGATTTAGCTTTTGATAATTTTATGGATTTTTTAAAGAGAGCTTGGATAAGTGTGTTCCTATTATGCAACCTAAACATAAATCAAAAGAAATTAATTCCAAAATGTCCTCGGGTCACAATTAGTTTGTGCAAGTCGATTTCCCATAAGAATAAGCTATATCGTAGATACGTCAATAATCCTGCCAATTCCAATCGTTCAGATTATGTACGCTTCAAAAATAAAATTACCAATGTTCTTCGTAATTGTACGCAAGATTACTTTAGTACCGGTACGCAGTTTTGAGATTGTTAAGGGTAATGTCAAAAGTATATGGAAAATAATTAAAACAAAAATTAACACTGTTGATGTTGATGGTACATATGTTACCAACTTGCAGTTTATTGCTGATCATTTCAATAATTATTTTACCAATATTGGTAGAAAGCTTACTAGTACATCTATCCCCACGTGAAATTCAAATTTTAGTAACTACTCGTTGAACCCAATTTCTCAGTCTATTTTCTTTTCTCCTGTTACAGAAGAAGTGGTTATTGACATTAAATAAAAAAACGAGTTCTGTGTTTGATTTAATTAGTTGTTCGCTAATTAAACAAGTGATCCGAACAATCTCCAAGCCCTTTACATTGATCGTTAACTATTCCATTTCAACAGGCACTGTTCCTGGAGATAGGCCTATGAAGATTGCTCGAATCACTCCAAGTTTCAAAATGGTATCCCGCAATGGTGAACAATTATCGCCCTATTTCTGTACTTTAAAATTCTGATAAATGATTATAAAATAATCGCCTGCATGTATTCAAACTCAAACAAGCATAATGCGATATCCGATAATCCATGTGGATTTCGGGCAAATCGTTCAACCATATGAAGTCATGCAACTAAGATAGCAACCGGTTTAGATACATCATCTGCTGCAATAAATATTTTTCTACTATCTTTTGCAGGCCTTTGATACAGTTGATCATGAAATTCTACAAAAACTAGAATATTATGGAATAAGGGGGACTGCTTTGGATTGGTTTCAAAGCTACCTATCAAATGGACAACAATTTGTGGTTATCAACGGTACCTAATCTATACGAAGTAAAATGTCTTGTGGGGCTCCACAGGACTCCGTCTTGGGTCCTCTCTTATTGTCTAGTTACATTAATGACTTTGGTAAATCTTCCGATTTATTCTTCTTTATTCTTTTTGCTGATGATAGTAATCTTTTTTATAGCCATAATGATGTGGAAACATTTTTTGATGCAGACAACATTAAGACCAAAAAAGATCCGCCTGGATTAAAGCAAATAAGTTATCGCTATTTAATGCTATTTAGCAGAAAGTAACTTCAGGTAATCAAGTCGTTATTGATGATACAGATATTACAAGCACCGACTCTGTTAAATTCTTTGAATTAATTTGTATATAGATGGCCACTTAACCTTGAATAAGCACATCAGTTATACTCCACATATCCAGAAATATACTAGGCATTATCTCAAAATTAAAAGCAATCTTTCCAAGAAAATTTTAATGACTTTGTATAATACTCTTATCTTAGCGTACATTTCATATGGCATTCTTATGTGGGTCAAAAGTAGTATAAGTCATCTTAATCGAGTCCTCAAATTAAAGAAAAAAGCCATGTAGAAATGTTAATTTCCACACTGATCATCTCCTCTACAATTGTTGAACGTTGAAAGGTAAAGATATATATTTCTTCTCTATAGCTATAGGGTTCTTCATGCTTCAACTCAGCAACAACAAATCACCGACATTTATGTGTTCATCATTTATAAAATATGAAGAAATTCATTATCACTTCAAAAGGCAATCCCGTGAATTTCATCGATCGACCGATCATATGTGTGTGTGTGTGTGTTTTTGGTTGTTTTGTTTTGTTTTGTTTTTGATGGGGTTAAAGTTCAATACCAGTACTTATGCGTACAGTATGCCACTTAAATAGCTCCGTATTGTTACGCCTACTATGTTTCATACTGAAGTGACTGCTCGGCTACAATATGTCAACTGCATGGTGGCGCTATTTGAGGTCACTGTTTTCATGACCTGCTGATGATGGCGGAGGTCGGCAGGCGAAGATATCAGAAAAGTGCGAAAAGACGATCCGATGCAATCAATTTTCTGGCAAACATATCTCTCGATGGCAATTTTTCACAGCCCGAAGATAGTCCAGTGAAAGCAGAAAGTAGACATGAGTCTCGTGGAGGGAAAGGAACAGGCAAGACTGCCACAGACAAACAAGAGAAACAGACCTCGGACTCGAATCTGTACGTTCCGAAGGGCCGAGCAGGCCTTCGAGATGTAGGCCTAACAGAAACAGACGCATCGACCAGCGAGGTCGCGTTAATCCCTGGGACAGAAGAGAGCCTTTTCCTTGGCGAGGCCCGTGGCCGCACACGCTCCACCACCAAGACAATTTTGGGAGTATCCTCGGGAAGTGTACGGGTTAAGTCATTCAGTGAAAGACATGAAAGAGGGTCGCCGCTAATTCCAAGTAAATTTGATCCTGGATCACGACCAAGGTAATGTTTTTGGGAAGAATTCCATCTTCATGATCAATCTGGTTTACATATTGGACCATTGAATGCCAATGATATGGTAAGATCGATTGACAAAGGTCGATCAACATGATGGTACAATTTACCTCCAGAACTATGGGGTCCGACGTCCGTCCTGCTCCCACGAACCCCATAGAAAACGAGCCTTTTTCACCTTAAGCCCTATATGATGTTTAACAGGGCTCAAACAAGGGTTTTATTCTGGTTATGTACCCTTAGAAATGCTGTTCCATTTCTTCCAAGAGTAAGAGTTTTATGTAAGATAGCTTACAAATGTACCTTCGTACTGAGTACTAAGATAAAAAAGGGCCAAAACCATGCCGTTTTCCAAAAAAAGGTGCAAATATTTCCCAATCAGTGTCCGAGAGTCATGTGGTTCACGTGTACTTGCGAAGCAAGCCGTGACCAAATGGTCGACTGTGGCTGCACTTGATACACAAGACGTGTATGCAGACAAAGATCACTGTCAGTCCGTATCCATGCGCGGCCTCAACAGAGAGTGTTCATGTTGCGACAGCGCATTCACGTGCACTGGCACCCAACGGCTGTTGCTCGTCGTTCCTGCCATTCGGGCATAAATAATGAGGAGCCCTGTGATTGGTCAGTGTGACACCCAGTGCACTGCAGCCAACTGCCATTTCAACCATTCAGCTCAGTCGCGGCTAAGAATTACTCACACACGGAAAGCAGCTGTAGCTAATTTCCATGTCTTGTGTATCGATCGCAGCCGTAGTCAACCATTTGGTCGCGGCTCGTCTTTGCAAGTACTCATGTGAACCGCATGAATCTTGGACACTGATCTGGATATATTTGCGCTTTTTTTGGAAAACCGCATGGTTTTGACCCATTTGTTTTTTTTCTTGGTACTCAGTACGAAGGTATGTATGCTATCTTACATAAAATTCTTGGGGGAAATCAAATGGAGCAGCATTTCTATGGGTACACAACCAGAATAAAATCCCTGTTTGTGCCCTGTAAAACATCATGCAGAGTCTATGGTGAAAAAGGCTTATTTTCTATGGGGTTCGTGGGAGCGGGGTGGAGGTCAGACCCCACAGGTCAGGGGGGGTAGGTGCAGTTCCAAGGATAGATTTGTGCCAGGGAGATGTTAATTACTTTAGGATTTTTTGCCCTGCCAGACAGAAACAGTTGTTCGCGGTACTGGGTGCTACATCTGACTCAAACCAGCCAGCCGACACCGGCAAGCTCAGTAGTTGAGTGGTTAAAATGTCTGCACTAGTAAGCAGGAAGTTATGGGCTCCAGTCCTACCCGAGTGCGCTTGTGGGTTTTTCATAAGCCTTCAGGGCAAACACTGAGTAAATAGTGTAAATACACATCGGGCAGGGCAAAAGATCCTAAATTGATTAACAAGCATGATTTGGTGTCCAGCATGTCAAAAAAGATTGTGAAGAGACCGTGAAATTGTGCAGATCAACCAGTCATGCCCAACACGAAAACCAAGTTTTAAATGGGGTGCCCTTGGGAGAACTTGATGAAGAAAGGGGTTTTAGTACCTACCCATAGAGGGAACAGGCTTGAAAACACGGGACAAACTTGTCCGTTTTCATGATGCCCATGGTGGTTTAAGGTGGAATTCTTTCCCCTCCGAATAGGCAGATAATGTAAGAGCTCTTTAAACTTTACAACCACTCATACATGTCATACATGTACATTTGCACAAATTACTTCGTGAGTTCTCCATTTCACTTCTTAAGATTACTGCTCGTGCACATGTGCATGTTCCTGTTTGTCAAATTCATGAGCAGAAACATGCATATTCTCAATCAACTGGACTGCTAAAAGCAGCACTGACACCTGGTTTTGGTTGAAATCTTAAATACTTTTTGCATTTTTATTACATAGCCCGTGCCTTTTGTTTTTTCAATGTTTTCCATTTTGCAAGCTAGGTACACAATACTTTCTCTTCTTAGTAGGCTCTGAGATCTACTCATATTTACAATGTGTGGCTGACCATTGCTTCGCAGCTGTGCAGTGTTCTCGCAATTTTTTTAATCAGACCTTTAACTTTAATTGCAGGTGCAGTTTGCGTACTGTGTTATGCCGGGCTTTTGGAAATGTTTCCTAATCTTTTTGTTTGATAATTATCATGTAACACTGTTAATGCTTTGTACTTATTTTTCTCCTGCTTTTTCAAATAACCAAATGCATAGCCCAGTGTAACAAAATGAGCAGTTGGAGACATTGATTTTTGTGAACGTCCAGTGTGAGTCACACAAATGAGTTTGTTTGCCTCCAAGAGCCCAAACACAGATCCCCTCGGCTGTTGACCAGGTCATTAAAGGCCGCCCTCTCCATCCGGGCCTGGCTGTTGATACCACGGTGGTTGAGGGTGCCGTTCCACACAAGCCAGTGCCCTACTACCACAATGTCCATCACCACCACCATCATCGTCATCACACCACTTCACAAGTGTTGAGCTCTCAAACCCAGAGTGCCGACACTGATGTCTTGCCGCTAGTGAGTGCCCTGAAAGAAAGGCCGGCCTGCACCGGCGTGGTGCATGTGGCCCAGTCACTACCGCTGCATTCACACAAACAGAGCAGGTATACATGTAGCTAGATCCACAGCCAGCCTTCAGCATCTTCATTCTTCACAAGTTTCTTGTCAACCTTTTGCACTTGACCAAGACTGGATTGCTGTGTGCCACACAGTCACTGTTGTTCGTGTCTTCTTTTGTTGACTTTGCATGCATGCACTACATATAAAGAAAAAATCAAGAAATCTTTCCACCGTGTACCATTTCAAAACCTTTACTAGGGCTGAGCCAATTCCAATAATTTACTATTCGAATAGTCGACCTTTGATTCAATTGATTATCCGAATATTTGGTCATACCGACCTGCAGACTGTTGATGAACAAACTATATATACAAAATCCGTTGCAATAACGCACACAACTGTACATTACAATCACTATATTAACTTCTCACATTAGGAGTATCTCCACCTATGAATTAGTAAGATTTAAGAGATGAACAATACTTCTTCCCCTGTTGAAATTTCTATTCCCCATTAAATTGTTTAATGGATAATTTGCTCTTTGAATCTTAAGATTTCTGTCGCTTTTCATTTGAATCTGCTCGAAACAAGCCTCCATAATGCAGTTTTTCTCATTTAAAGAGCCCTTCTATTGAAATAAAACATGTTTTCTCTGATTTTATCTGTTCAAATAAATATGAAAACATCCAAATTGAATGCAGTGTCATTTGTCTTCAGAGCTCAACTATAGCAAGCTGAAAAGGGCTTTTTTTCTGTTCATGTCAAGATGCGAGTTCTGAATATAGATCACGTCATTGACAAGAAAACAGAGAAAATGAGGGGAACCCTGTGTTCGTAGTGGATAAACTCTTGTGCATGCCAAACAATGGCTACATACATTGTCTGGCACGCACAAGGGTTAATCCACCACAAACATGGGGCTAGGGTCCCCACTCTTTAAAACAAAAGAAAATTTTCCCTTCCTTTTCATGAATTTTGCATTGGAATATTCAAATTCGGAAAACAATATTCGAGTATTTGATAATCGATCGAATATTTGGTTATTCGGCTCAGCCCTTATCTTTACATCAGGCATGAGGTTGAGAGCTTGCAAGCAGACTGTCTGTAAATTCGAATGGTTATTGGACTTAGTTTGCTCTCTTCATCGGACTTTGAATCTTTGTGTACATTGGCTAGGAAGTGTAGAAGGCTCTGTGAAGTCTGCTGACGTCATGCATGAGCGTTTAGTGTGAACATACAGCATGCACACAAGTTTGCCAGCATCAACCTTAAACTCTACTTCAAATCTTTTTTTCAGTAGGCCAGTTGAAATTAATATTTAGTTTTTACATCACTCGGACTGTCAAAAGTCAATTGGACAGACAATTTGTATTTTATACTTTTCCAACTTCCACTTCTTCACATCCAAAGTGAATCAAGGGGCCAGGGTTGACAGCACTGCCATATAGACAAGACAAATGTGAAAAGTTCAAAAACCTTGTTTCATGTCCTGTTGAGCCACAACACATGGCATAGATTAATTGCTCCAAAATGTGAGGTGTCATTGTTACACCCCAATGTGTAGCATTGTCCAGACTGTATTTGGGAAAGGCCCAGTTGTAGTTGGCACAGGTCCAACCATGTGGCAGTTGGGGTGTAACTGTATCATTATGTGGGAGCCATGACAGCTTGATTCATATGTTGGTGTTATGGGCATGACACGCAGCGGCTATGCGTTGTGTGTAAAATCAAAATTGTTCCACTCGCGCTGCACGTCAATGGAGCCTTCAGTTTAGTCAGCAATTTGTCTGAAAAAAATGCGCTTTATTGAGGACTGTACACTTCAGAAAAGTGATGTTTGAGAAAACCTAGCAAGGCTTAAAATCTGTTTGGACAAATGTGCAGCTTAAGAATTCAATTTACATATGTACATGTACATGTACAATGTAACTAGCAGAAACTCCATACACATTTGCATGAAATGAACATGTCCAAACAGAAATTGTGGCTACTTTCACATACATGTAAGTAGCTCACAACACGGCAAGTTTTCAATTTCAAGACAAGAACTGACACTAATGTCTAATAAATGTGTGTAATTGATGACACATTTTTAAGCCTTGACTTCCAACCTGGCTAGTCGCAGTCATTAATGAGCATGCTGTAGCCAGTGAAGTTAATAATGATACAAATTTCTTCACCAGAATGCATGATTATTCATTACACTAGTCACCAAGGTACAGTGCTTGATTATCAGCCTTAGGCTTGCTTCATAATTAAGTACAGAAGGAACCACTGACGTGGAAAAATTATTGTGCAAATTGGGAGTGTCCATTCAGATCACAAAATATTCAACCATTGACAACTCTAAGTAAATTTGAAAACATAATGGAGGAAAATGAAGCAAGTTTTGCACATCAGCTCATTAACATTTTTTAAAGGATTTTGATAGTTTGGATCATTTTAACTGCTACCAGTATTTGTGGCCACTGTTGATGTTGAGACTATCATAAAAGCAGACTCAAAACCATTTACAAGACCAGCCACAAGACAAGGTCACAAGTGAAAAGATTAACAATGATAAAGTATCACTGGTATGGCAATTCCAGTTATTATCGTAGCCTGTGACCTATAGCAATTCAGACTGGAAGTCATGTGATGTCTCAAGTGATCTCCAGCTTGAGTCTTAAGTACAACGCCATTTGCAACACATTTTACATCGTCAAAGTCCATACATATACCACACTGCCTCCCTAGTCTGTCATGGTTCTTGCTGGTATCAAGCAGTGCACCAGTACTGTACATGTACATGTATGTCACTTCTTTTTTCACTTCACTCAATATGATAGTCCCATCAAATTTTACTGTTGGTTTAGTATTTTTGCATATTTTCATTCCTCACTGAAAGTGTTCGCTTATTTGTGGGGAGTCAGGTTCATATACCCAGCCAGATATGGGACAGAGGGGTACCCCCCTTGCCTGTCTAATCCCTATATGCACTCTAGACTATTGCTACCTAACACATTCCCCGTAGATGTCTGAAAAGAATTCCTGAGATTCAGATCAAACAGTGACCAACACACAGGTGGGGGGGGAGAAGCTCTCCGTCCCATATCTTGCTTCAAATGTAGATCCATTGAGGAAAAACTTTTTCCCATGCAGATGATAAATGTGGAAGACCCCCCCCCATTTTAAATTTTGAATATTCAGGCTCAGAAAGTGAAACCAGATACAAGTACATGTGGTAGTGCTTACAATGTATCTAATTCCTGAAAAGACCAACCTGGTTCACAAACACTTTCTTAGTTTGGTTGAGAAAAGTTTTATAGTTACTAGCTGCCATGTTTAACCAGTTAATTGGGTTTTGGGTTTTTGCCCCGAAAAAGCTGCCGGTGACAGGTTTTTTTTGGGGGGGGGAGGAAATTATTTCTGGCTCCTAATAAATAATATTTAGGGAGGCACAACTTTTGATGTCAGGCATCATCGTTTTCATTCTTTTCCCCATGAGTTCTTCTGTTCAGCCGTTTCTCAACTTCCTTGGTAAAATTGTGGCACATGCCCAGACATCAACCGGTTCACATACAAAAAGACCACAGCCTAGATAAGCATCACCCATGGCCATGTGTGTTTTTTGCCAGTTGTTTTGATACAAAGGAGTAGCAACTAGTAGTTGGGATTTTTGTAACTTTATCTTTTTGTAATTGTGGTTTCTCTGGTCAGCAAATCAGTTTCTCCAAACAAAGGAGGTCTTCAATCCCCTTTTTTTCTTTTGTGAATGGTATATATATGCTTCAATTCTAATTACTCAAGAAAGGCTTTTCAGATTATTGTGGGTGGGGGTCTCCGCCTGTAGGATTGTCTTCAGCGTTTTGACCCAACAGAGCACAACTTCTTCATATGTCAACCCCAGAAATGAAAAAAAAACTTAAGCGACTGGATGCGTCCTCCATGGAACAAATAAGGAACACCATGTGTGTTTACGTGTCATCCAGTGACAAGAGATTAAAGATAAAAACACCACAATTTTGACAAAGAAGCCATAGAATACAGTACATGTAGTTGTTCATTGATACAATCAATGTTCCTTACAATGGAGAGTGTAAGGCCTGGTCTAATGTACATGAGTCAAGAATAAACCATTGCAAAAATGGCAGCTTTTGTTTCTGATGAAATTGATAACCAAGACATGAGAAAGCAAGTAACACTTCTCGATGGTAAATTGTTGTAATCACACATAGCATTCTTCAGGTTGTTAGAAGAAACAGAAAAACATCAAATTTGCATCTACTAAACGCTAGCCCCAAAATACCAGTAATAGTTACAATGGCTAATCATACCAGGAAACCTTCAGAAATTGCATGTTGCTGCCTGCTTGTTTGTTTGTCTGCACGTGTGTTTGCTTACTTCTCAGCACCTAACATTAATTAATGCCTTTTGAAAAGAGCTTGAGATTTGTGCAAGGTGTAAGGTAAGTATGGAACATGATCAGAATGTTACTGACTCTTCCCTTTTTCCTCATCAAACCTTGTGGCGTATGCACTTACATGTATTTCAGCTCCTTGCATTTATACACGTAGCATTCAACTATGAAAAGTGAAAAGGTAGTTAGTGAGAGTATAATGTTAACATTGCAGGGTATGTGTTTGGATTCCATGTGGTTTGAAATGAGCATGTGTCCGCCTAACAGTTCTGCATTTCTTGATTCCATTCATGCTGTCATGAACCCTGCATTCTTGGCAAGTTTATCGCAGGCTTTGTAATTTCTCTTTAAAGTCAAGAAGAGTCATTAGTGGACTTGGCATGAGGCTCTTTCCTTTCCCCCCATTTCTGCAGAATTGATTTTAAATGCTTTGAAACAAAATTTGTGTGGTATTGAGAGGGATTGAAATTTGTCATAGTGATCTTGCGTCCTTGATTGTCCAAGTTTTCGCTGGTGTCTTTTTCGTTGAATTTATTATCTGGATGGAATTGTAAATCGTAATCAATTCCCAAAATGTTGGATTTGCCTGAACCTATTTACATCTGTTCATGTATATCAGTTCTTTCTTTGACATCTTTGCAATTGCCTTGGAAGACATTTTGAACTGTAACATCAGCATTGTATTTTTTTATTCTTGCAGTTTGGAGTTAAGTCATTAACCCGAGTACCCCTTTGCAATCACCTTATTGTACAATAAAGAAAAGTTCTTCACTGAATCAGAAAGCACCAAAATGTTACTAAAAACCCCACATTTTTCTTATTTGGCCAGAGCAAGTTTCACATCTTTTGGTTGGCCTCTACCCTCACCCCTGTAGTACTCAAATTCTTTTCATTTCAACACTTATTTGTTGTCAGTCTGAATTGAGGGTCTTGAGTTTTGTTTTTCCTTTTCATCATTATAACCAATGCACAAGACAGACCCTTTTCCGTTGGTCCCCCATCCCCCAATAAAAAAATTCAATAAAATGGCACTGGTCACTTGTCATTCACAACATATTTTGTAAAGCATACAATGGCCGTTAACCACTTCCTTCCTCTGTACTTTTTAAGCGTTTCTTAAAATGACGGAGGAAAAACATGGATGTCTCCTTAGTACACCTTTGCATTTGCACAGCATTATTTCCTGACATGAATACCCAGCTGACACGTCGCTGATTGTTAACCGGTTACCAACCCTGATATATCTTCCCTACCCCAGGGTGCTCCTAGTGTCAGCACGCAAGGTACCATTCTCCCTCTATTCAGTCTTGCCGTACAGCCGACACAGTCAACATGGCTTACTCAGGTAATCATAATCCCAGATTGCTGGACAATTGTAATAAGAGTTAACTGACATGGTGGCTTTAGCCATGCTACATGTATACCTCAGCCAGAGCTCATTGAGCTCTATGCTTATTAACCTTCCTTGTAAAGGTCCGTTTGTAGATATATTGTCCAGTGTGATAGGTCAGATGAAAATGCTCAAAACATTCCAGACTTCGGGAAGTCTTGTTGGCGAGATACCATAGTTCCTTCCTTGCCTTCCACTGTGGTCGGGTTTGATTCCCGGCTTGGTCCACATGTCGATGGGGTTTTCAGTCCCTACCTGATTCTGTAGGTTTTACCCTGAAATTTCTTCACTGGGAGTTTCCCCCTACCTCTAAAATTGTAACTGCTTCTTACGTCTCCTCTCTATAAATGTACATGTAGGTGGATGTGGGTCGTTCAGTGGCTGCATGAGGTGCCCTTGTATGCCATTCGCTCCACCACGTTTAATGTCTTCAGTGTGATTTCTTTTTGAACATGTTGTTGTTTGTATATGTACATGTAGGAATGACTCAGATATCATTGCAACCAGTCGCACCAGGAAGAGCTCCGGTACCAGAGGCATGGGGAGTGATACATTTTCCGGTCTCACTGGAATCGAGCTTGGCGACAGTGGAAAGGTACTCACATGTGACAGTCCTACAAACAGTAGACTTATCTGCCTATGGTCTTTTCCCCCCAGCTTTGAGGGTTTAAAGGAATTTTACGTGGTGAATCGTGCATGTGTTCGTCCCAAAAGTTGTTTCTTAACCAAAATTGAGTGATTAATCTTTCAGGTCAGAAACACAGCTTTATTCAGTGTTCTCACACATTCTACACATATGTACATCTAAGTGTACATTTGCATAAGTGACTCATCTGCATGCCGTTCAGGATGGCAATATTGCACATTGGCCTAGGCAAACCTTATAACGTATCTTAAGATACATGTATGTGCTTCTTACTACACAAAGATGGGAAAGGGCTGGTTGGGGACATTACATTTTGCAGAATTGTTGAGAAGTTCTTTGAATCAAGGGAGTTTTGGAAAGCTCATTTTGTAGATCCATGTACATGTTCAGTTCATGTTTTCTGTAAAATCATAACCGGCACAAACTGTGTTTGATGCTTCCACATTCTGGACACACAGTGTCCTTTCTTGTATTACTTTCATTAACCGAGTGTTTTGGTAAACCTGGGTTAAGCTTGCCCCGGGTTAATACAGTGGGGTTCCCCCTTCAAGCGGCACTCGCAAGCTGGTCCTACAATGCTTTGCACAGACTTTTCACTCGCCAAACATCCCTTGGCACGCGATATTAACCATACGATTTGTCCCATCAAGTTGGGACTGCACCTTGTCCTCTTCTTTCCACAGCCTAGCCCTCTTCTTCTTTTGCTTTTCATTTTCTGTTGGGGGGTGGTTGGGATGCCATGTTTGCAACCAAAATGTATGTACCTGTAGGTACGTGTAACAATTATTAAACAACAATAGGCCCATATCCCCGTACATACGCCATTGCAGCAGCAATATTTCGTGCCATAGATTTAAGTTTTGACCACAGACTATGCAACTCCTCATTGGCCCTAGATTGCTTGTGGAACGCTTAACCCTACTTGGTTTCCTACTTCAGTGCTCACCCGGGGTTCGGCCGTTAACCCCGAAATTGCCATCCTTAACCCTAGTCGCTGGCAGGGTTAATGAACCTCGGGGTAACAGCCGAATTTTTTCTCTTAACCCCGGGACTGAAAAGAGTAATGGGAATGCTCGTACTACCCCAGGGTATCGCAGTGTTAAGGTTCGCAGTTACCCCTGACATAACCCAGAGATTTGATAGTGGAAAAAGGGTATTTGATTTATTTATATATACCTGATCATCCAACAGCGCATTTAGCGCCAATTACAGGATGATAATGAGTGAAGAAGACAATGAAGAGATGTTCAGTTTTAGAGGTGGGAGGAAAACCCCGTATAAATGTTTCAGGGAAACCCATGGACTCAGGTAGGGACTGAAAACCCAATCCACACGTGGACTGAGCAGGATTCAAACCTAGGCCCCCAGAAGTGGAAGGTGATAGTGCCAACTGCTGTGATCTGTGGTGTACCATGACAGAGAGCACTGACTCAAAATGAATATACTGCACGACAGCTGCACAGCATTCATCACAGCCAATTCTTTTTTTTTCACAATAGGAAATTTCCTACCGCCATCTTCTGGTACCGACCAAGGACCAGGCTGTCTACCGTAGACAGCACAGTATGGATATCCTCAGCTCCCCACACTCACCTGCACTGAGGAAGATTCAGGGTCATCCACTCTCTGTACAATGGGACAGAGGTAAATACTATAAGGGGCATGTAGTCTGATGGTTTGGCCTTGTATCTCCAAGACGGTCAGAGGCTGAAAGCCTGTAGACTTGAAATCAAGTCGTTAGTTGAAAGTGCTTGTCATCCGCACACTGCGTCATTTTACAGTTAGTGTGGAGCCTATTCACTGTTGCCCGAGATCCATCCAGCATGCCACACCGATTCTGCCCTTGCTCGTGGGCTGTTCAGTTCCGGGTTTCGGCGCATGTCGGTCCACCACCCCTGTACCCGCCTAACGACTTGATCAACCTGACTCTGGATCGATATTCATGTTTGCAATAACTAACTGCATGATTCATATATGTCCATGTAGAGTGCCAATAGTAGCTCACACTACAGAACAGACTCATCTATTTATTGATAGAGATGTCTGCAATTGATTAGTGCCAGTTTCTTTCATATCTTGTGTTCATGTCTCGTTTGATATGACGCTTAGAGACAAAGTATATATAACTATTCAAGAACAAATCTATTGACTATCATTTTTCGGTAAAAGAATCAATGCTTTTATGGCAAATCATCTTTTTAGGATAATGTAAACACCCTCTTCAATGAACGAGACTGTGGTTGTTGTTAATAAGAGTTCAAATGACCAATCAAAGTGCCCCTGATATAAATATTCATATTATCGGGATTCTTAGCCAATCAGAGTACTCCGTCCAATTTTTTTAGCAAGCCACATATATTGTGCTTAAAAGGGCTTACAAATTATTCAAGTCGGTAATTGGGCACCGTTGGACACGCATATTGGGGAGCAAGGTTGCACTGACTGTTCCTGTGTGTTATTGAACTGCTCGCCGAACAGCACCGCGTACGCATCGCGAAGAAGGTGGACTACACCCAGCCAATTACCGATTTGATTTCAAGTTTAGAAAGCCTGCAGCTACTGTACAGGTGGACATAGTTGTGGCCTAGGACAAGTCACTTTATACCCCTTGCTCTTTCCACCCAGGCATATGACTGGGTCACTGCACCTCAGTTAGGGCTAAGATGGTTGCTGTGTTTGATTTACATGTATAGCCATCTGCACCTGAAGTGGTGGCATCACGTTGTATACATGTACTCCTCGGGGAGCTGAGATGGTTGTAGGACTATTTTGGGGCTCAGTAAAGAGGGATAACAGTAATGCCGCCATAGAGGGATCCCAATACGACACTTTTAGCGTCGATCTGCGCACTTCCGCGGTTGAAAACGAGGCTGTATGTGTCAGCTTCAATTCTTAATACGATCAGACGATTGAAAGTAAGGAGTCAAGACACAAAATACATAAAAGTATGTTAAATTCAGACTTTTCAGGCTGCAAATTTTTGTTGAAGAGTCTTTCAGAATGACTCGACACGTGAAATCAGAACAAAGAAAATGGCAATTTTCCGTGAACTAACGTACCTGCGATGGCCATGTATCTTGTGCAGTGGGCGTGGTTTGTGGTGTCACACTTACGAACCGGATACTGCATATACTGGGTTGACTCCGCGGGCGCGTGCGAGGAAGTTCAACACAGAGAGCCTCGGTTTCGATGCAGATATGCGCAGATGGCGCTAGTGTGAATCTATCTATTGATCACCAGTGTTCTAGTGGATATGTGTCCTTTAATATACATGTAAATGCACATGTATTATTACTTCTGAGGTTGAATGGGATTCTAAGAGGCAATTAACTGGTGGTTTGCTGCACAGTAAAGCACTTCAATTGTGGCTATACATAAAAAAAATGTATGTAAAATACCTGCATTTGTGATAACCCATACCACTCTAAGCAACAGTGGTGTGCATTGCAGTATTCAGCTTTTTACTTGACCCTAACTA